ATCTAGAAGGTGTTCTGGAGGATCGCGCAGTCAGCGGAAGAGTAAACGCAATTTATTTTTGCCAAGAAATATAAAATTGTGTTGTCTCAAAGTTTCGGTTTATGTAACTATTATCGTCTAATTTTAAAATTTGTACATTTTATTTCAAATAAAATGTATTATTCAATGATAATGTGTAACAGTCTTTTTTATTGTTAAAAAGTCATGCCATGGGGTTAGTTGCAAAAAAATTTCAAGGCTAGTTGTAACATGTTACAACATGCCCCGAGTTATGATGTGGACATCTCAATATCTATTCTTTTTCTGCAGCACGGAAGTTATAAATCAAATAGAAATTGTGCACTAACCAACTCTGAGTTTTTCCAGTCTACCAAACACTTTTTTTGCCATTCAAGTTTAAACCACTTTGGTTTTGGAGGGTAAAGGCGCCACCAAGAAAAACTAATACAAATAGCAGACGCAAAAAAAAAGTACAGTATTGATGCAATACGAGAAAAAGATGAAAAATAAACAAAATGATAAAACTAAAGGAAAAGGCAAATGAAATGCGAAATTAAAAGTGAAATGGAATGGACAGAAGTAAAAAAAAATTCATATTCAGGTTGAATCTTAATCAGAAAAGTGGTACTGACTAGTTGGGTAGAATATATCACTTATAAAATATGGGCACATGCATATGAATACATTGCGTGAGAAATGTGCTACACTTACTTTTGAAATATGTCAATATTATAAAAAATAAGCAAAAAATAAAAGATTAGAGGTATTATTGTTGTTTTTTCTATCGTCACTACATGTCTTGGTGGATTTTACAACTAGCCCCGAGCACGAGATAAGTTTTAACCGCAACACCGCACCTTTTCTAGAAAATAATTGATTGTAAAATAATGACCAACAGTCGTAGTGATATTTTTACTTGACTTGATAGAGGAATAGTTACAGCAGTTAACCATCTTTATTTAGTAGAATTTTAATCAATGGATATCAAGATATTATTTTTAACTAGTGGGGTGTATGGCATCGTGCCTTAAGGCAAATTGCTGGAACTTTCCGTACCGTAACGAAATGTTCGAGGAATACTGAATGTTTTCGAATAGATTATTATAAATATTGTAACATTGTCTAATATTTATAAAAATTATATGAACTGAAATGCAAAGTTGAAATTATTTGTTTAAAGTATATTAGTACTACAGTCAGAATTAAAAATAAAATCTGAATTAATTTCGATATACAAAAAATTTTTTTTTTGAAAAAAAAAAATATTAAAAAAAAAGTTGAAACAAAAATTTTTTTTTCAAAATCAATTATTTTGTTAAGACAAGCAGAAAGTTTTTTGAATCATTCAAATCGGACGCTGAGTTCTCTCAAAAACTGCCATTTTTTGCACATTTAGCTCCGTATCTTCGAAATGGCTAGGCCTGCCTTTGCCAAAGACTAATAAAAACTTCTCCCAATCATTACTAATTGAATCTTTCTTAGATCATTCAAATCGGATGCTCAATTCTCTCAAAAACTCGATTTTTATTTTCTGCACTCTTTGCTCTTTATCTCCGTAATTGCTGGTCCTGCCTTTGCCAAAAACTAATCAGCACATCTCCCTATCAATAAGAATCGCATGTTTTTTGAACCATTTAAATCGGTTGATCTGTGCGCTCGAAAACGTGACCGAAAAATTGTATCCTTACATACATACACACACACACATCCATTTTTTCTGAGGCATGCCAAAATGTTCAGAAACGTCGAGATATGTAAAAATTTTCAATTTCGATTTTCGGCCTATTACAATAACTTACCCTACGGGAAGTTAATAAAAACTGTTATTCTAAACTGTTATAAACAATCATCAAAAAAACTTACGCTGCATTAAATTAGTACTTACATTACTCATATTACCAACATTTCAGTAAACAATGAAATAACTAAAACTTAATTGTTTATGCAGATTATAACATTAAAAAATATTTAAAAAAGAAACTATATTTTGAATAAACTAAACTTTTAATTAATGACGTAAAAAATAAAAGCTCAATTTTTTAACTCAATTCTATGAATATTTTATCAACATAATCTAATAATTAAATATCCAAAATAATTAAAAACAATTTCACTGCTTCGGTTTGACCACAATGTGTAGTTGAATTAAATGGTAGTGGAGTCTAATAAAAATTGACATTAAATAAAAACGAAAGTGTAAAGAAATAACTCAAACAATAACAAAGGTGCAAAATACATAGTCATGAAGTCATTGACGTAATGTTTGATATAATACTATCACAATTCAATATGAATTACAAACATCATCGTATAAGTAGGAAACATTTATATTAACTTTTTTGAAAGTTTATTATCAGCGAAGATCAACGCTATTTAGATATATTATTAAAACAAATATATTAAAAACATAATACTTATTATATAAACAAGAAACAATTCACTACGTATCCACTACTAACGCATATTTGTGTACTACGGAAAGTATAAGATCAAGGGAACGTTTTCTTTGAATATAAATACTTAAAATATTTTGTACTTGAATGAACTTATATATATATATATATATATACATATATATATATATATATATCTATATACTTTAATGATTTATTTAAATTCATTTTATTTAAATTAAACCAGCCATTTTTATAGGCCTTTAATGTTGCACATCGATAATTAACACTACGTTTTAAATCATGCAAAGCAGATGATATTATCTGAGACCGAAGATGATATATTTAATAAATTCGAGTTATAATTTATCGATTATTAGTGAATTTATGAAGTAATTACACAGCACCCTAAAACTGTTATGATAATAATTACAATATGCTGAAAACGCTAACAATAAGTTAATAATGCAGAAAATTAATTCATCAAAATGTTTTTTCAAATACATATAGTATTTCAAAATAATTTTCCAAAACGCGAATTTGCCAAATGGCTAAACTATACATACTATCGTATTATTACGCTAATTTGTTATAACCATATACAAAATAAATGTTATAAAAATGCTTATTTCTTCGTACTTATATTTATTTATTACGTAAACATATATCGTATAATACAGTTTATTTATAATGTAATAAATATATCACCTAAATACATTTTATCAAACATATTAATTTTAAGAATAATTTACATTTTTTTTTATTTACATTTGAAAAACCAAGTACAATTTTGTTGTTTTTTATACCTTGAACAATTTATAAAGTACTTTTATGTACCAAAATAATAAATAAATACTAAAACAATAAATATATAAAAAAATACCAAAATATACATTAAGATTACAATGCAATTCTAAAATATGGCATTTAAAATATAGGAACAACAATTTGAATATAAAAACTAATCATTCATACTAAATGTTTCTGTATTTGCAAAGTTAGAATATTAAATAGAATGATTATTTTGAATCATAAATGATCATGCCAAAGTTTATGAAAATTATGCTGCTTTTCGTATAGAAATTATTTATAATATATATATGGGTATTTTATGCCTTTTGCATATTTTAAACCCTATGATTTGGTATTTAATTCTGTGAGTATTCTAATATACATAATGTCTTATATAGATCCTGTACAATCATACTCGCATACAATAATAAATAAAAATAATAGTTTTCATTTACAAAACATTCATAAAGAGTTAATCGATGAATTATAATTAATGAGCAAAGCATATCTAGAAAATGAAAATATTTTTTTAAGCCGAAACATTTACCTGAATAGTGACGACAATGCATATTTTGTTCAGAAGCAATTTAATTAATGCAAAATCAACATTTGAGACGCTTATTTGTGTTTTGCTTCCTATTGGCTCTTGTTTTTACTCCTGTATTCGGAATAGCCGCTGTAGGCCAACTGCTGCGCCGATTCGGCCGCATTGTTGTCATCGCGGAATGCTATCGTACTTGATGTGGAGGCGGAATTGTCTCGGCCATAGGTACCGCTGAATCCTTGATGGTTGTTGTGGCTGTAGAGTGAGGAGGGTCTTTCATCCCGGTAGTAGGACCCAGGATGATTGAGGCCATACGGCACTTCAGGACCGCTGCTGCTGAAGCTGGGCACACTGACCCCTGTGAGCGAGTACTGAGGAACAGCCGAATGGTATGAACCCGCATTACCGTATCCACCAGTAAATGCACCAGATGTCAAATTTGGTTTGCATAGTTTGAAGAAACCGATTATGCCTAAACATAGTAACAAATAATGTAAATATTTTGAACATGCAGTTCAACTAATATACCTATAGCATAACGAATATGGACAAGATTTGACATCAAATAATAATGATAGTGATGATCATTTACTCTAATGGTTTTATTTTACAAAATTTTATCACCATCAGTACCTCTAAAATAGCAGTCATTCATAAAAAATATACTATTAGTTTTATGAATATTCGATAGTGTGAAGTTTTTTCAAAATTAAAAATCTGCTGCAAACATCAAAGTTGTACAGGTGTCGGTATAGAGCATTGCTAAATTTATTCTTTTTTAAATAAAAACTTAAAAAGTTGATATATTCTTAGATTTTGTTGACTTTGAATTGTATCGAATTTTTTCTCGAGTTTTAGACTGTTAGATATTTATATAATTTCTTTTTTATTTCATTTATATGTATATTATATTTTATTGTATATACCTGGAATGATGATCGCGAAGAAGCCAAGAAGTTTTTTGAAACTAGCAAGTCCCAAGATTAAAGGCAAAAACAATAACAGTTTCAGCTTGAACAGTTTCAAAATAATGAGCATAGGAATGAACAACTTCCTGAGACGCTTGCGAGCTATAAATAGAGTCAGAATATTAGTTTTCTAACATAATTCACTATTATTATATTATTGCCTTGAATTTATAATTTTCACATTATAGAGATATTTTTATAAATATAATCACAATCTGTTATATCTTTAGGTTGTTTGGTCAAAAGAAGATTTACTTCACAAGAATATTAATTTTGGTTACTACGTACAGAATAGGGGTGCTTTCTTATCTTCAAGAACATCGATTTCATCAGCAATTTCATCCAAAAATCTTGGTGAGTATCTACCTTCTTCTGTTACATCATCTGATACGCTAATTTCGAAAGCTGCTGACTTGATGAATCTAAAAATTAAAAAATCGCAAGTTATGAAATTTCATTCACAAATTTCAATGTACACATATAATTATAAATTAAATGTAAGAAAGTATATTTTCACTTACTTTTCAACTTTACGCAAACCAAATTTAACGAGCTGATCCCATTCAGAATCAGTTGCTCTTGGCTCCGAAGAAAATTCATAAGGTTCGCTGTACAGAGATCGTAGTTGGGTTTCCGGCATACGAATAACTCGCACATTTTCCGTCAAACTATGAAATGATAAAAATATAAGATCGATTTATATTATTTATGGTTGAGTTTTAGAGAATATAGTAACTTTAAATCATAAATATCCTCCATTATCTTATAATAAATAAATAAATATATGGTATCTCTAGTGCCTTCAATCAAAAAGTATCTATAAATCAAAGTGCTGTTTTTTAAAGTGGAACAGTCAACAGACAACTTTAAGTCAAATATGTGCTATATATCCAAATTTAAGTGAGAAATATCTAGTCTGCATGTGTAAGCTTTTATATCAAATTTACATACGTTGCTTTAATATATCCAAGGACGAAGTCTATTAATATCGAATACTTACTGATAATATTCCTTTGAGAAGAATTCGGTAAAGCTGGTGAGAGCTTGACTCTTGAAGCATTCGGCCAGATCCCCGCTCAAGCATGCCGTGTTAGTTCGGGCCACGTACGGGTCCTGGTCTGGCCCATTGCCTAAGCCAATCCAATCGAGCAAACTTTTTCCATCTCGCCCGCCGGAACTTCGTTCCTGGTCAGGCAAACGTATTTCGTCACTTCCTACGAGGAAAGCGGTCAGCGATACCGCTATAAAAGACGCTAGCCAATATTCCTTCATCATCTTCCGAATTTTGCAATTTCTGTAAAAATATACATTGAAATTGAATTTAGTAAAGATGTATTGTTAATCATTTATAGATGTCGGTAACTTGCCAACAACTTTGCGATATTATTTGTATCGGGCAGTTTTATTGTAAACTTTATCTCTTTACAAAATATATTGAAATTACGCGAACAATTTTTTACTATATTTGTAAATTAAATTTTATTTAATCTTTTTTGTCTTTATATTAACTTTACGTTTAAATATTGTAGAATACTTTTCGTAGCGTGCTGTTCTTAAAAAAAATATAACAGGTAAAGGTTACGTAAAAGTATATGAATAGTATGGGTTGTGTCGCCAGAATAATATTACATTTTATCTTAACAATTTGTTTTATATATATATTTATATATATATATATATATATATATATATATATATATATATATGTGTATATATATATATATATATATATATATATATATATATATTGAATTGCGATCAGAACATAATGATCCCATGAGCTGTTGTGATGAATTTCTAATGAACTTTGCTTTTGTTCATAGATGGCAACCCAAATGGTTGTCCCATCTCTATGTGATGGGAAAATTTTTGTTTTAGGGCATTTTTTTAAATTATAGCTGCAAATAGCGATGAGGTCTATTTTTACTTGGAAACATATTGATATCTTTATTTTTAAGTAAAAACCGTTGTCGCTACTGCTTGACAGCAAACTGCTCTAAGAGGTATCGAACCCAGTACCTCTGTTTCAGGTGCAGTCGTTTTAGCTTGTACTTATCTGTACAATTTTGAATAATAAAACTGAAATTTGTATCTGAATAATAAATATAACTGCATAATATATTAATAGCATAACTGATTGAAAGACACTTATAAGATGAAATATTAAGATAAAAAATCCTTTATTTTTATTATTGTTTTTGCAGAGAAATTATGCAGTATTAAAAAAATAAATTTATTGATGAAAATACCTTTTCAAAATATATAATATTTAAGTAGAAATCTTCCTTTCTGCGAATATTTTATGATTATGCTTTAAAACTATTTCGTTTTGAATAATTTGATTGTATAAAAGATTATTCGCTTTTATTGCATGAAAATGTTTTATGGAATTCAAATGGTTTCGCGCAGCAGTATTGACATCGGTTTTAGCTTGGAAATATAGATAGCAAAATGTTTCCAATTGAAGAGCTCTTAACCGGCATTGCTGCAACATTCCAATTAGAAAAGGCAACCGCGAAGTTCTAATAGCGTTCAATATAAAAAAGTCTTTTAATAGCGTTCAATATAAAAATAAACTTTATCTTAGATAATAAGGACAATCAATGGATTGCCTGCTAATAACGTCGTTCTTGCTAATATGCAGTGCTCAATACATCTTGTATAAAGAATTTATAATAGTTCTGATAGCTGTAAAATTACAAACATGAAAAAATCACAGGATATATTCTCGTTCGTTAGCCGTTAATTGACTCTTGTAAATAAACTTTATATTATTTCTAAGTTCTAACTAAGTTATGTTTTTTTAATACGAAACAAAATTAGAAATCTCATATTCGTAAAACGGAATGCCTCCACATAACTGGAGCCGGACGGTCTGTTCCAGATATCGTGCAGGTCAGCTGGAATACACGTTCGTGCGTAGTTCTTTCGATTCATAAAAATGGTTCGCTTTAAAGTTTATATAAATGTTCTAAAATATTTACTTAAAATTGAAGTTTCAATTTTTGTATATTGTCGTTATTTGTTTCACGAAATATAGAACCGTTATTAAGTGGTTTTAAAGGGTTCTACATAGAAGACATTGAGGAGGTGAGCAAAGAACTATTATATTCATATCACCTTTTTATAATGAAATGATGTATATATAGAATTTTAATTTTGTGTGCTATATACTGTTTTTTTTTGACAAATTACTTTTTATTGGAAAACGGTAAAATAACAATGAGTTGTAATAGTACATGCAAATTAAAAATAGAAATATTGACATAAAATTTGCCATAAACAATACATAGACTTTTTGCTTTGAATCGTGACAATCATTACATTTAATAAATGACAACATTATAAAATATAAGTTACTCAGTCGAACGAATGAAAATTAACCGTCTATTATATCGTTTATTGTTTTCTGTTTTTTTTGGTACAGCAGGCAAAATTTGATGCGACTCACCGTTATTTCATTGCGACCCATGAAAGTCTTACGTCGATCATTACAGCACTAGTAAGACATTGTGGCGGTATATTTTGAGAAACGTCAACAGTGTAAAACTAACCTAAGAAACCTCGTTAAATACATCACTACACATTGTTTCTGAATAACCAATCGATCAAATACAAAAAATATTTTATAAATCGTATAAATATAATCTATACATTTCCATATTACATTAACCGACGAATTTAATAAATGATTTACACATTAAAATAGAACTCAATAGATATTTTCTTTGTGGCCTCGAAGAAATCGATTTGGAGTAACAGTTATCAAAAAGTGACCGATTTTGACCGAATGAGTAAAAAGAACGCGGTCAATCGTCGGACCATCCGTGGATACTGACACTATGGTCTGACATTGACAATGGGCAAGCGGGTTCACTGGCCCGAGCTTACGTGCGCTTACGTGCGCGCTTAGCGGATATCTCGGATACGTCGTTCTTAAGAGGCTGATGGTACGACACGCGTGCGCACCTGAACAGGTAACAAATAAAAGTACACACGTACGCAATCAGAAAAAAACATTAGTCCGAGCGGTCTATTCAAAAATATTATCTATGTTACTATGAGTATTTGTCAATTCAAAATTTGAATTCATAAACGAATGTTTTTGTGCTATACATTACATATTAAATTAGTATATATGTTAAATATGGTTGCTGTAGATTTTACATTTATTTATGTATATTTAACACTTTGGGGACGGCTGTCCACCTCAGTGGACAAACATATTCTGTGAGGCACAAGCTATTTTATAAACAATGACTCAGTTTGCATCGAAAAGTTGAATAAATTACATATAGCAGTGATAAATAGTATTGTATTTTGAAAATATTTTTAAATTATTTTAGTAGTATTTTTAGCCTTTTTCTTTGCTATATGGTCTTTTTTTAATATTTAAGACGACCGAGCGCTTTTAAATATGGTAAAACGACTAGTAAATTTTGTGGCAGTAGTGAAGATGAGTTTCAAATAGACATTCATACAGACAAATTTTACGAAATTACTATTCGCACCGATGATAGTGATGAATGTGATGATGATATTACCCAAACAACAAAAAGAAGAAGTTTGACAAAATAAATGAAAAGCGGGAAGACATTAGCGAATGTGCCGATTCTCCTTCAATAATCGAGTTTGACATACATCAACAAACCCCCCGACTACAAATACCAAGCAATATAAAACATCCAATAGATTATTTTATTTTATATTTTATAAATGAATTATTAGACAATATAATAGAAAAAATCAACCATTATGGCAAAAAAATGACCAAATATACTGACTAATCAGTGGCATATTCTAAATTCTAAAAGAAAAAGAGATTGTAATGTCTGTTCTGACAGAAAAGCATCAGGAGGAAGGCGGCGAACAACATTTTATTGTAAAACATGTCAAAATCAACCAGCTATGCATTTTGGAAATTATTTTGAACGTCACCATTCTTTAAAAATAAATTAATATTAGAAATGTATGTCCTTCAATTTTTATCAAACAAATTGCATAACATACACAATGTGAACAAGTTTACAGCCGGTAAAGTAAATTGTTTTAAAATCGGTACCGTCCTGAAAGTGTTAAAATATACCATAATGAAATACAAAAAATAATGCTACTTGTAAACATAATGGGGAAAACGGACAAAATGACACAATGGTCTTATTTAAAAATTTGCTAGGTTTTTAACGTTTCCCCGATAGTATAACATGTAGATAGCTATAATAATCAGATATTGAACGTCATTGTCAGATTGTCACAGTATTATCGCAGTAATCAGTTCAAACGTGTTTTGCGCTTTGAAAAGTTTATTTTGAGGATATTTTTCTCATGTTTTTTGGAACTCATTTATTGATATT